TAGTATATAATAGTATATAGTATAATGTTTCTAAATTCCAATAAATTACTCCTTGCACTGAACTTGGTACCTAACAGCTGATTGTTCTTCACAGGAGAAAGACTGTGCCTCTCTGTACGAGATGAAAACATACGTGGAACCCAATGAGATTGAGCCCTCACTGGTGTGTAAACAGGACTATACTGTGTCAGCTTTGGCTGTCTTATATTTTGTGCAGTTTCCTTTGATAAATACATTCATAATTGTGTGTGTATGTCTCATTTAGCCTCAAAGTACAGTTAGGGCTCTATATTGCTACCAGTCGAAAAGGCCAGATGAGCTCAGCTTCACTAAAGGAGCTTTGATACACAATGTAACAAAGGAGAACGACGGATGGTGAGTCCACACACGCACGCACACACACAACACACACACACACACAGGAAGCAACAAGCAAGGATTGGTCATAAGCCTTTCCTTATGTGACAGTATATAGTTAAATCTTAAGTTAGCTAGTATAAGCAAAATGTTAGCTGACAAGCTATCTAATCTACATCAATTGGTAGCTAGCTACTTAGGTGGTTAGTTAGGTAGCTTTTTGCTAAAATTAGTTAACTTAAAATGTGGCTCTATATAGAATTATCTCGCTTTTATCTTTTAATCAATTAAAAGTTAATAATTCTTTTCAACATAGACTAGCCTAGCACAAAGCATATCTAAGTACAGAAAAGGAGGAAGTTGACCAAGATTTCAAAATGGCGGGACTGTAAACACACTCAAAGAACAAATAGGAACGTCCATTGTCTTCCACATTATACTCACTGCAGTACACGTTACAGGTGGAGGGGCGACCATGGTGGAAAGGTGCAGCTGTTCTTCCCATCCAACTATGTAGAGGAATTGAGCAACAACACCAAACTTGAGACCAAAGACCAGGTGAAGATTAGAGTTTAGGTCACAGTTTAACTGGAGGTTAATTAGCATAGAGTCTGAGTAAAAAATAATCTAACCTGTGTGTTTGTGATGTGTATTAAAACAGGACATGGAAGACAACCCACTAGGTGAACTATGTAAGGGTGTTGTGGACATCTCCAAGTGCAACATCCAGAACTGTGAGTTATTTAAGTGTCTGAAACATGCTTGTCACATTCATTTGACTTAAAAATACTTGATACCTTCCCCCAAGCCCAATGATTAAAAAAGTATACTTTATCATAAAAACTGTGCCTCTTAATAATGTATTTCCTTTCATTTCCTGAATTAACATTTCCGCTATTAATTTCTCGGATCCACTTTGTTTGAACTGAACCAGTTTGACAGCGTCCAATCAAGTTGCATGAAAGAACTATGAAGAACTAACATTATGCCAGTTGGAAAAAAGGACCCCTCCACACATAATGTTTTTTGTTAAATTTATGACATATAACTATGGAGTAATGTTTGGTGAAAATATTATGTTTTATTTTCTATACTCTAGAGAGGCTGTGTTAATATTTAAAAAAAAAACATTCTAGGGGTGTCCTAACTTTTGTATACAGCTGTAATATAGCCTCTTTGATATATTATTACTCTGTTGTTATAATGGCATTGCATTTTGTGAAGAGCCCATTATGACTGTTTTAGGACTCAAAACTCAAAGTTTAACACTTAAGAATTGACCTGGGACTTCAGTGAAAAGATTTGAGACTTACTTTTTTACTTGTGGGCGGCTGTGGCTCAGAGATAGAGCCACTAATTGTAAGGTTGGCAGTTTGATCCCCGACTTCTCTCGCTGCATGACAAAGTGTCTTGAGTAAGATACTGAACTCTAAATGGCTCCTGATGCTGTGCATCGGTGTATGAATGTGTATGAATGATTAGCTCCTTTCTGATAAGCAGTTGGCATGAAGTGTATGCCATCAGTGTATGAATGTGTATGAATGGGGTGAGTGTACTATGTAGTGTACAGTGCATTGAGTG